AGGTTTTTCTTACTTTTAATTTTCTTTTTTTTTTGCAAAAATTATCTTTGTGTAAAAAATTGTTTTTAAGGTCTCTCTCTCTCTCTTTTCCTTCCTATAATATACATATTTTACATATAATTTTATGCAATTTTTTCTTTGTTGTTTTCATATTTTTAAGATTTTTTTCCTTTGTGTAGTTTTTAAAATAATAAATACAAATTTCCTGAGAAATTAATAAACAAAATCTACAAAATTTAAAAGAATACATTTAACACTAATTAATTTTGAAAAAAAAAACGCTGTAAAAAGTATATTTTGAAGAAATTTTAAAAATTTCTTTAAAATTGTAAACATTTTTAAACGATCTCGAATACTCTAACTTGGTCTTAGTGTTTTCAGCAATATTATTTGTCTTCTGTTTCTGAAATACCATAGTGAAATCTTTTATCAGAAACTTCTCTTTAAAATCTGGCAATCGGTAGAAATTTTGCTCAATTTACAAGGCTGTTAAAGGTGGTATTCTTTGGAGTCTAAAAGCCTTTTGTAGCCTATTTGCAAGGGTAGCAAACATGCAATATCTTTCTACACAAACGAATTTTATTTTCCACAGCATAAAACACTTGTAAACGTTGTAATCATAACAATTCTAGCCAAAAATGCCACAGTTTGCAAGACCCTAAGAAATATATAGCTTATTTGCTAGAGTAGCAAACCTGCTATGGTTTTTAGTTGTTGTTTTTTTTTTTTTTTTCATAACTAAAGTGAAAGTTAACTTTGAAACAAAATATAGTAAACAAATCCCGAAGAAATAAAAACAATTTGCTACCCTTGTAACTATAGCGGAATTTACTACTCTTGTATAACTATCATTCTCATTAAATCTAGTAGATAATACTACAGTTTGCAAGACTTTAGCAAAAAATACTAAATTTGCAAATAGAGACTATTTTTTTTCAAGCTTATTGTAAAATTACTATAGTTATTTACTATTTTCATAGTAAATTAGTCTGGCAAACTTTGCAATTGGAAATAAAGTTTGAAACATCTTAATATAAACTTAGCATATTTGCTACTCTTGCAAATGTATTGTATTGAGCTTTAGTTCATATTCGGGTAAAATTTAGTCGAATGCCGAAACTTTGAAATAAAGTTGTGTTCTCGCAAAACTTTTTTAAAGTCTCACAGAAGAGTTTTGAAGAAATGCAGTGAAATTGAAAAAAATTCGAAATTTTATCGTTCTGAACGTTCAATTTGCACGTTTTTATGGCGCGTAACCCGAAAGTGTAACTAGAAATAGTCGTGTAAAAAGTCAGCCATTTAACGAACTGAAAATATGCAACTATATTAAGTTAATACAATTATTTCGGTGATAAAAAAGTTCGCGGTCAAAGGTCACATTCGATCAAATGTTCGATTTCAATCGGCTCAACAAATTGTTAAGAATTTTTTAGTTTTTCCTTGGATTTTTAAAGCTCACAAACAAAACAAGTACTTTTATTCTAAAAAAGTACGATTGCCTATAAAAGTACCAAAAGTAAAAAGTTTTCTTTTCAATTTAGTACTTTTTTCGGCCTTAAAATTAGCAATTTCTGATCGTTGCAACATTGTTTTGGAAATGTCCTAATGAATTACCAAATACATGAACGAGTGAAATTTTATCGTAATTATCTTTTATATATTCGATCGCGATTGAGGTAATTCGACTCGAAAATAGTAAAGTACTTTTTTTTAATCTTAAAAAAAGTACCAAATTTCTTTTAAATACACACAGATTTTGTAATTTGATTTCATATATTTGAAAGCGGGTTTCTTTAACACGATTCAAAACGAACGAAAACTTTCGAAAACTTAATGTATTTCAAATACGAAATCGAATATTTTCATTTATGAATCGAGCTACAGATTAAACAAACGCACAATTCTCTACCGAGACCAACATTAAGCGACTGATTCAGAAATTTTGGATAAAAATGGCAAATTTATTTGAAAATTTGTGTGATTTTAAAGAAATTTCGAAAAAAAATTCTTAACGACAAACTGAATCAGACAGCCTGACAGTTCTTTTAAATTTTGCAATATTTGCATTCCAGTTCCTTGTTTAAAATTTGTTTTCTATCTTAAAAACCCTTAATCTTCAATAATTTTTATGGTATTTATAAAATTTAATGTATTTATAATATAAACAAAATAAAAATTTGAACTAAAGATAAATTTTATAATAAAGTGTCCAAAATAATCAAAAAAATAAAGAAAAACTAAAGGCTATTTTATCAAAATAAACAAAACGTAAAATAATAAAAATAAATTAGAAAAAAACACCAAAATTTGTTAATAACAAAATAAAAAATAAGAAATACTTAAATAAAATTTTAACCCTTTAAATTGTAAATAAATATTCTCTAAATGTGTTAAAAATTATTACGTTGTGTTATTAAAACAAAACAAGATTTATTTAAACAAATGTAATTTTAGTGAAAAAAAAAATCCCCAAATCTTTTGAAACAAAAGTTTAAACTTAACCTTAAAATACTTTTTAAAATTAAGTGAACTCTAACAACAACAAAAATCAATCATTTTTATTTATACATATACATAAAAAACAAACAAACAAACATTTTAAATAATTATTAAGTTTTTACACTAGAAAACATAATAATTTATATATACAAATAAATATCTATAATAAAAAACAGAGAAATATAAAATATTAAAAAAAAAATATAAAAATATATCTCAAAAAAACAATTAATTAAACAAATCTTTAGTAGCCTTAGAGTGAAAGACATTTACATTTATAAAAAGTAATTTAGTTACACATAATTTCTATAAACAAAACTCTAATTAAAAATACAAACTCAATTATTATAATTAAAACATGTCAAACAAAATGTTGATAAACTTTAACAGTAATTAATTAATAATATAATTCATAATTTATAACAAAAATATCATACCATAGTAGTGTGTTAAATTTCTATTAAATAAAATACAAATGCATAAATCTTATAGAATTTAGAAGAAAGAAAAAAAAAAACATTAAAAAATAAGCGTGTTATTATTAATTTAAAGAAAAGTAAGCCTTGTCTATATAAAATTTATATATATAAAAAAAAAAAAAACAATATGAAAAGCAATGTTTTCTTTTTTAATTTGAGAAACGAATAAAATATTCAATAAAAATAAATTATTAAATAAAAAAATGTGAGTTTTTTTCTGCCGATTGACTAGAACTGCACTAAAACTTGAACCAAACTAAAACTGAGTTTGAGCTGAACTTGAACAGAGCTAGAACTGAAATAGAACTGAACTAGAACTGAAATAGAACTGAACTAGAACTGAACTAAAACTGAACTCGAACTAAACTAGAACTAAACTAGAACTGAACTTAAACTGAACTTGAACTGAACTAGAACTGAACTTAAACTGAACTTGAACTGAACTTGAACTGAACTTGAACTGAACTTGAACTGAACTTGAACTGAACTTGAACTGAACTTGAACTGATCTGAACTAGAACTGAACTAAACTAGAACTGAACTTAAATAGAACTAAAACTAAACTAGAACTGAAGTAGAAATGAACTAGAACTGAACTAGAACGAAACTAAAACAATACTAGAACTGAATTAAAACTGAACTAAAACTGAACTAGAACTGAACTAGAACCGAACTAAAACTGAACAAGAACTGAAGTAGAAATGAACTATAACTAAACTAGATCTGAACTTGAACTGAACTTGAACTAAACTTGAACTGAACATGAACTGAACTTGAACTGAACTTGAATTGAACTTGAACTGAACTTGAACTGAAATTGAACTGAAATTGAACTGAACTTGAACTGAACTAAACTAAACTAAACTAAACTAAACTAGAACTGAACTAAACTAGAACTGAACTAAAATAGTACTAAAACTAAACTAAATTAGAACTGAAGTAGAAATGAACTAGAACTGCACCAGAACTAAACTAAAACACTAGAACTAAACCAGAACAATACTAGAACTGAACTAGAACTGAATTAAAAATGAACTAGAACTGAACTTGAACTGGACTTGAACTGAAGTTGAACTGAACTTGAACTGAACTTGAACTGAACTTGAAATGAACTTGAACTGAACTTGAACTGAACTTGAACTTGAACTGAACTTGAACTGAACTTGAACTGAACTTGAACTGAACTTGAACTGAACTTGAACTGAACTTGAACTGAACTTGAACTGAACTTGAACTGAACTTGAACTGAACTTGAACTGAACTTGAACTGAACTTGAACTGAACTAGAACTGAACTAGAACTGAACTAAAATAGAACTGAAGTAGAAATAAACTAGAACTGAATTAAAATTGAAGTAGAAATGAACTAGAACTGAACTAGAACCGAACTAAAACTGAACTAGAACTGAAGTAGAAATGAACTATAAATAAACTAGATCTGAACTAGAACTAAATTAGAACTGAACTAAACTAAACTAGAACTGAACTATAATTAAAATGGAAATGAACTAGAAATGTACTAGAACTGAACTAGAAATTAAATAGAACTGAACTAGAACTATACTAGAACAAAAATGGAACTAAACCAGGTCCCAAATTACTGCATACGATTTCGATCGAAATCTCAATAGAATCTAAATGGAGATTTCGATCGATATCGTATGACGTAATTTGGGCCCAGAGCTATACTGAATTAGAACTAAACTAAAACTGAATTAGACCTGAACTAAAAATTAACTAGAACTAAACTAGAACTGAACTAGAACTGAACTAGAATTGAACTAGAAATGAACTAGAATTGAAATAGAACTAAAGTAGAACAAAACTAGAACTAAACCAGAACTATACTAGAACTGAATTAGAACTGAAACAGAACTAAACTAGAGCTAAACTAGAACTGAACTAGAACTGAAGTAGAAATGAACTAGAACTGAACTGGAACTGTACTAGAACTGAACTTGAACTTATTTAATTCTAGCTCTAATTTACAGAACATACTCGAAAAAAAAATTACTTTTTTTTAATTTTTATTAATATTTCTTTATTGATAAGAATTAAAAATTACATTTAGATGCTTGTATTACATACATACAATATTTTTTTTTTCAAATTCATCATTTCAATATGTATTATTTTTTTTAAATTTATAATTAATTGCTTTGTATAATGTAAAAGGTAAAATTGTGTATAAGAATAAGACAAAAAATTCTTGTATTTTTTATATAAATTTTTTAAAAATTATTTTATATTTTTTTTTATGTAAATATGTTTAAATTTGGATTTAATTTTACACTAGTGTCTAAATAACACTAAATAACTTTTTAATTATTAAAAAAAAAACAAAACGAAAAAAAAATACTTATTATTTCGTTCATATCAACTACTGCAAAGTTTTTTACAAAATTTTCTTAAAAAAAAAAACAATTTTTTACTGAAATAAAAAAAAGAGAGAAAAAAAAGAAAACTAATTAAACAATATATATTGCAAATAGATTTATGGACTTGAGGCAGCATCCTCTTCGTCAGTAGTTGCACTAGTTGAGGTGGCCGTTGTTTTATTCCGAGCTACTGCGGCAACTTTAGTGGTTTTCTTTTCTGTTTTAATTTCCTTTTTCAATTCAATTTTTATCTCACTTTCTTCCTCGGTCTTGCGTTTCTTTTTAGTTATAGTCGGTTCCTTTTTGGTAAAGAAATTAAAGGGATTTTTACCAGCTTTACGCTGAGCTGCAGCAGCTTTTAATTTGGCATTATATTGCTTTTCCACCTCTTTAACATGTTGTGGCTGTATAGTCCATTCTTGATTATGATCGTTGGGTGTTTTGGTGGGGTCTTCTAAGGGATCATACGGCGGTACTTCTATACCTAAACGTTTGCATACTTTTGTTAGGATATCATCGACATAGGTGTTGATTACTAGATCGGCTTTTTTGTCCTTTAAGAGAGGAATAGCTTTTTTTTAGAAACAATTTTATATATTTTTTGTTAAACTCACATGTTTAGTTGGTTGCAAATTGCAAATAACCAATTTTCCACCATGCTTTTTATTTTTGAGCGGTATATTGCCACTTGGAATGATTTGCAAAGTAGTTCCCAAGGTAATATTCAAATCGGCCAAACTTTGAATAAAAATTAAATAGATTGATAGATATGACAGAAAATGTATTTGTACTTACGTGGAATGCATTAAAGCCAAATCTAAATCCCTTTCGGGCAAATCATGTTCCCAATCTAAAACATTATCCAAAAGCATGCCACCACGACATTCACGACGACAGGGACCACCGCATAACTTTTGGCCCACTGTCTCTGAAGCCGACGAACGTACAAATTGACGCCGACATTTATTACACTGTTCAATAAAAATATTACCATGCAATTCCGACAGACAACGTCTTGGCAAGCCGGACTTCAAGTGCAAACCATCGATATTTTGTGAGACAATATACTGGACGTAACCCTTGGCTATGAGGCTACGCAAAGCCATGTGGGTGATGGTGGGTACAGCATCATTAAAGGAAATATTTAAATTAGGTTTTTCACCTTTCTCCTCCAAAGTCCAGACACCTTTGGGACCTCTTAATAAATAAATAGACAATAATATGTAGGATGGTCCTAACAATAAAAAGGCGGTTTACTGGTGCTTACCTAAAATCGGGTATGCCTGCTGTTGTGCTAATGCCAGCACCAGTATGCACTACAACATGTTTGGCCGACTGCAGGAGTTCTACCAATTTGGCGACTTTTTCCTCAACTTCCGCTTCCGCATCGAATTTTTCCGCTATACCCAAAACTCCTTTATTTTCATAGGGCGATAAACCATCAGCATAATTGCAGCTCATTTTTCGTGTTTTTTCTTGCTTTTCTGCTGTAGTTTTTACTTTGATTTTTTCGTTTTTTTTTTTTTTTTGTGTCTTGTGGGTCTAAATTGTTTTAGGAGGCAAAATTTTCACCTAACTTTTCCCGTATATTTTTTTGTTGATAAAAAGCTTTGATTATAAATTGTAATTGTTTTTCGGTATCACAACGAATAGAAAAATAAAAAGTGGAAAGAGATAGAGGGACTACGAACGAAAATGGAAACAATAACAAAAAAGCATAAAATGCATTTCATAGTTGCATACAAAAAGTACTCATTCAGCAAACACAGGGCCATCGCAGCAAACCCAAAAGAAATAAAAGGAAATGAGGAAAAACAAATAAGAAATATAAGGTGTAAACAAACTGGCCAAAAAAAAAAACAGCTGATGAAGTAAATAACCAACAGCTGTCAAAAGTGAGAGAGTCAACAAGAAAAAAGAAGAAGAAGAAGATAATAAATAGAGCATAAAAGCAAAAAAAAAAAAGAGAGAATGCAAAAATTCTGAAAAATTATTGTATTCTATGCTTTTTTATTAGTTTCTTATGAGATTTTAATTAATTAACAACAATAACGGTGTTATAGGGGTTTAAAAAACTGCATATAAAATTAAAAACAAAGTTGTCCACAGCAGTTCTAGTATATTGTGTATTGAGTTCATAATATTTACGATATTAAGGTAAAAATAAACAAAATTTATAAAGAAATTCAAGTGAAAAACAAAATTATTCTTATTTTTGTAAAAAATCAATGTCATTCTTGCATACGCCAAGAATCAAGTGAACTTTTGCGAGGGCCAAGCACCTGAAACGCATTTTGTTTAAAAAAAAAAGGAAAAACATTTTCTTGCACACACGTAAGATGAAAAATTTAATAAAAAAGAAAACAATTTTTTTTGTATTTAATAATTGTCGCATAAATAAACAAATAAGAAAAAAAGTAGTTGGTTCTCGTCGACCGTATGTTGCTGTACACCAGAAGGCTCTGTATGTGGGCAAGGACATATAATGGTTCGAGTCTAAAGGAATTTATTGTAATGACTGTTATCAATAATATTAAAATATTTGTGAGGGATGAAATGATTTTCGCAGAATTGTCACGTTTTTTTAGAACATACCTACCTATGACATTTTATTTGAATAACGATATAATGAAGCGATTTATTCCCGACGAGACCTTTTAAATGGACTGAAGAAACTTATCTTTGAATCCATATAAAACTTGTTAGTTCAGTTTTTAATTAAATTTTAGTTCTAGTTCAGTTATAGTTCAATCCTACTTCAATTCTAGATCAGTTCAGTTGAATCCATATACAATTTATTGGAAGGTTTGGGATTCAAGTAAAATTAATCTTACTAATATGATAAGCTATGTTTAAATGATATTCTGAAAAGAAATTACATATGTATGTACATATGTTTATGACCTAGGTCAAAATGCGGTTCAATTTTTCTAAAACATAAATCTATTTAACGAATTTCTGACAGATTTGGTGAAATCCCTATTGAAAATTAATTTAAATTCTGTTTTCGAGTCTATTGTCTTTCTTGCAGGTGCCTGAACCCAGTACTTTTTCTGTGTTACATCCAACAACACAAACGCATTCTTTTGTAGGGTATCTATAAAAAACAACATCATAAAAAAGCTCACCATATGCTGGTATTTTTCACAAATTAATTGTGTGTAAATATACATATGTATGTACATAGGTATACCAGTATGTTTCTTTTTTCTTGTTTTGTCGAAAATGACTTTTCATAATATCAATGCAATTTATAATAAATTTTGTAAGTTCCTTATAATATAATTTATTTTATGTATGCAAAAGCTACATATTTATCTAAAAGTATTTTTTTTGGCATTTGCTTGCTGTTACACCCCACCTTGCTAGCCATCACCTAGTAATTTGCAATAATGAACACTTGCCTATAGCTACCACTATCAATCACCAGGCACCACCACTATCTAATGCTTGTTTATTAATATACACAACAAACAAAACAAGTAAGAAGGTAAAGCTCGACTTTATGATACCCTATTTCTAGAAGATAATGCTCATTTCTAGTTCAGTTCTAGTTTAGTTCTAGTTCAGTTCTACTTCAGTTCTAGTTCAGTTCTAGTTCAGTTCTAGTTTCAGTTCTAGTTCAGTTCTAGTTCAGTTCTAGTTCAGTTCTAGTTCAGTTCTAGTTCAGTTCTAGTTCAGTTCTAGTTCAGTTCTAGTTCAGTTCTAGTTCAGTTCTAGTTCAGTTCTAGTTCAGTTCTAGTTCAGTTTAGTCGTTCTAGTTCTAGTTCAGTTCTAGTTCAGTTCTAGTTCAGTTCTAGTTCAGTTCTAGTTCAGTTTCTAGTTCAGTTCTAGTTCAGTTATAGTTCAGTTCTAGTTCAGTTCTAGTTCAGTTCTAGTTCAGTTCTAGTTCAGTTCTAGTTCAGTTCTAGTTCAGTTCTAGTTCAGTTCTAGTTCAGTTCTAGTTCAGTTCTAGTTCAGTTCTAGTTCAGTTCTAGTTCAGTTCTAGTTCAGTTCTAGTTCAGTTCTAGTTCAGTTCTAGTTCAGTTCTAGTTCAGTTCTAGTTCAGTTCTAGTTCAGTTCTAGTTCAGTTCTAGTTCAGTTCTAGTTCAGTTCTAGTTTCAGTTCTAGTTCAGTTCTAGTTCAGTTCTAGTTCAGTTCTAGTTCAGTTCTAGTTCAGTTCTAGTTCAGTTCTAGCTTCAGTTCTAGTCAGTTCTAGTTCAGTTCTAGTTCAGTTCTAGTTCAGTTCTAGTTCAGTTCTAGTTCAGTTCTAGTTCAGTTCTAGTTCAGTTCTAGTTCAGTTCTAGTTCAGTTCTAGTTCAGTTCTAGTTCAGTTCTAGTTCAGTTCTAGTTCAGTTCTAGTTCAGTTCTAGTTCAGTTCTAGTTCAGATTCTAGTTCAGTTTTCTAGTTCAGTTTTCTAGTCTAGTTCTAGTTCAGTTCTAGTCAGTTCTAGTTCAGTTCTAGTTCAGTTCTAGTTCAGTTCTAGTCAGTTCTAGTTCAGTTCTAGTTCGTTCTAGTTCTAGTTCAGTTCTAGTTCAGTTCTAGTTCAGTTCTAGTTCAGTTCTAGTTCAGTTCTAGTTCAGTAGTCTAGTTCAGTTCAGTTCTAGTTCATTAGTTCAGTTCTAGTTCAGTTCTAGTTCAGTTCAGTTCTAGTCAGTTCTAGTTCATTCTAATTCAGTTATGTTCAGTTCTGTTCAGTTTCTAGTTCAGTTCTAGTTCAGTTCTAGTACAGTTCAATTCTACTTGAGCTCTAGTTCTTGTACAGTTCTAGCTTTACTTCCAGTTCATTTCTAGTTCTATTTTAGCGAATTTACAATTAGGATTGGTTAATTTCTAGTTTAATTATAAATATAGTTTCATTTTCAACTTTTGGAGTAGTTCTGCTTATGATTCTGATATACAATCAATAATATAGGCGTCGCAAACATCTGCACCAACTAATATATACACTATTCACTATAGTATTGTAAACTATAAAACTAAATACACATCCATATACACTTCATAAGTAAAAGCCGTCTTCTTATTGATTAAATTTTATTAAATTCAATTGTTGTTCTTTTTTTCCTTAGAATAACTGACAGTTGGTTGCTGGGTTTGTTTGATAGTGTCGTTCTGCATAAAGGTTCGTTAGATGTTTTTTTTTTTTTTTTGTTTTAGTTTAGCTAGTGGGAGCATAGCCAACTTTTTGTTGCATTCGTCCATCATTCTGTGTCATGTTTTTGTATTTTCCTCTTCTATTTTTCATTTCTTAAAACACATCATATGCATATGTGTACCAATCTATATGTATGTACATATATGTACAGTTCTGTTAAAAGTTATACGGACAATTATTTCTCCGTATAAGGGACCATATCGGTTATGTTTTCTGTTTTAAAGTGATCCTCATAAAATTTTGATACTATGATTGAATTGATTTTTGGTAAAGTAAGCCTTTAAATTATAATTATTTATTAAAGGGTTTAACAAAAATTAAAAAAAAAAAAATACTTTTGTTGATTTATTTTACTTGTAACACCACGGTGTGTAGGTCTATTTATTATTTTTTCAAAATTATTCAATGACGACAACATCTACTCTGGCTATCGCTTTGATTTTATCAATATTAACACTTTAGTGAATGAGTTTTCAAAAATAAAATAGCAAGTGTATAATTAAATTTTATTAAAATTACAAAAAATAATAAAATTTTGGTGTAGATTTGAAAATTTTAACAGTTTTTTACAATTTTTAAGTGAAATATAGAGAAACTTTTAACTATAAGTAGGTAGGTATTAAAATGATTTATCCTAGTTAAAGTATTTGGTTTCTAATACAAAACTAAATACCTTATTTCCTGTTGTTCACTTTTTAAAATAAACTTCCTCTGTTCAACTTACAACAATAACTGTTAAGTGTCAAGTTGTTTTATGGCAACTATTAATATGACAAAATGTCAATTTAAAAATATAAATAGCAGGACACTTTAAAACTTAAAGTCAAGGTTACTCATCAGGGTTGAATGCTTAAACACATTTCAATTTTGTATAAGTATAGAACCTGCCTCAATGTGAGACAAGTTTTTTATAATTTTTGCCCACATAGAATTACACAAAATATTTTTTGTTTGCTTAAATTTTAGCTCACTTTTCAACAAACATGTGAATAAAAACGTTTTAAAAATTATTTTTTGTTTTTATTTCAAACTTAATGTGTTGGTATTTTAATCTTATCTCAATAAATGTTAACTTCGAATAATTTAGACAAGAAAGATGATTGTGTGTTCGAAAACCAAATTTTTTGTTATAAATATATTTTAATGTACATAGAGTATATAAACATACATACATATACATAGTATATTAGGGTGCACCTTCAGTTCTATTTCAGATCTAGTTCAGTTCTAGTTCAGTTCTAGTTCTGTTCTAGTTCGGTTCTAGTTCAGTTCTAGTTCAGTTCTAGTTCATGTTTAGTCAGTTCTAGTTCTGTTTAGTTCAGTTCTAGTTCTGTTTCTAGTTCAGTTTCTAGTTCAGTTCTAGTTCAGTTCTAGTTCAGTTCTAGTTCAGTTCTAGTTCAGTTCTGTTCAGTTCTAGTTCAGTTCTAGTTCAGTTCTAGTTCAGTTCTAGTTCAGTTCTAGTTCAGTTCTAGTTCAGTTCTAGTTCAGTTCTAGTTCAGTTCTAGTTCAGTTCTAGTTCAGTTCTAGTTCAGTTCTAGTTCAGTTCTAGTTCAGTTCTAGTTCAGTTCTAGTTCAGTTCTAGTTCAGTTCTAGTTCAGTTCTAGTTCAGGCTCTAGTTCAGTTCTAGTTCAGTTCTAGTTCAGTTCTAGTTCAGTTCTAGTTCAGTTCTAGTTCAGTTCTAGTTCAGTTCTAGTTCAGTCTAGTTCAGTTCTAGTTCAGTTCTAGTTCAGTTCTAGTTCAGTTCTAGTTCAGTTCTAGTTCAGTTCTAGTTCAGTTCTAGTTCAGTTCTAGTTTAGCTCTAGTTCAGTTCTAGTTCAGTTCTAGTTCAGTTCTAGTTCAGATCTAGTTCAGTTCTAGTTTAGTTATAGTTTTGTTCTAGTTCAGATCTAGTTCAGTTCTAGTTCAGTTCTAGTTCAGTTCTAGTTCAGTTCTAGTTCAGTTCTAGTTCAGTTCTAGTTCAGTTCTAGTTCAGGGCGAGGGCAGGGCGAGGGCAGGGCTAGGGCAGGGCGAGGGCAGTTCTAGTTCAGGGCTAGGGCAGCTAGGGCAGGGCGGGGCTAGGTCAGTTCTAGTCAGTTCTAGTTCAGTTTCTAGTTCAGTTCTAGTTCAGTTCTAGTTCAGTTCTAGTTCAGTTCTAGTTCAGTCTAGTTCAGTTCTAGTCAGTTCTAGTTCAGTTCTAGTTCAGTTCTAGTTCAGTTCAGTTCTAGTTCAGTTCTAGTTCAGTTCTAGTTCAGTTCTAGTTCAGTTCTAGTTCAGTTCTAGTTCAGTTCTAGTTCAGTTCTAGTTCAGTTCTAGTTCAGTTCTAGTTCAGTTCTAGTTCAGTTCTAGTTCAGTTCTAGTTCAGTTCTAGTTCAGTTCTAGTTCAGTTCTAGTTCAGTTCTAGTTCAGTTCTAGTTCAGTTCTAGTTCAGTTCTAGTTCAGTTCTAGTTCAGTTCTAGTTCAGTTCTAGTTCAGTTCTAGTTCTCAGTTCTAGTTCAGTTCTAGGTCAGTTCTAGTTCAGTTCTAGTTCATTCTAGTTCAGTTTCTAGTTCAGTTCTAGTTCAGTTCTAGTTCAGTTCTAGTTCAGTTCTAGTTCAGTTTCTAGTTCAGTTCTAGTTCAGTTCTAGTTCAGATTAGTCAGTTCTAGTTCAGTTCTAGTTCAGTTCTAGTTCAGTTATAGTTCAGTTCTAGTTCAGTTCTAGTTCAGTTCTAGTTCAGCTCTAGTTCAGTTCTAGTTCAGTTCTAGTTCAGTTCTAGTTCAGTTCTAGTCGTTCTAGTCAGTTCTAGTTCAGTTCTAGTTCAGTTCTAGTTCAGTTCTAGTTCTAGTTCAGTTCTAGTTCAGTTCTAGTTCAGTTCTAGTTCAGTTCTAGTTCAGTTCTAGTTCAGTTCTAGTTCAGTTCTAGTTCAGTTCTAGTTCAGTTCTAGTTCAGTTCTAGTTCAGTTCTAGTTCAGTTCTAGTTCAGTTCTAGTTCAATTCTAGTTCAGTCTAGTTCAGTTCTAGTTCAGTTCTAGTTCAGTTCTAGTTCAGTTCTAGTTCAGTTCTAGTTCAGTTCTAGTTCAGTTCTAGTTCAGTTCTAGTTCAGTTCTAGTCAGTTCTAGTTCAGTTCTAGTTTAGCTCTAGTTCAGTTCTAGTTCAGTTCTAGTTTAGTTCTAGTTCAGATCTAGTTCAGTTCTAGTTTAGTTATAGTTTTGTCTAGTTCAGATCTAGTTCAGTTCTAGTTTCAGTTTTCTAGTTCAGTTTCTAGTTCAGTTCTAGTTCAGTTCTAGTTCAGTTCTAGTTCAGTTCTAGTTCAGTTCTAGTTCAGTTCTAGTTCAGTTCTAGTTCAGTTCTAGTTCAGTTCTAGTTCAGTTCTAGTTCAGTTCTAGTTCAGTTCTAGTTCAGTTCTAGTTCAGTTCTAGTTCAGTTCTAGTTCAGTTCTAGTTCAGTTCTAGTTCAGTTCTAGTTCAGTTCTAGTTCAGTTCTAGTTCAGTTCTAGTTCAGTTCTAGTTCAGTTCTAGTTCGTTCTAGTTCAGTTCTAGTTCAGTTCTAGTTCAGTTCTAGTTCAGTTTAGTTCAGTTCTAGTTCAGTTCAGTTCTAGTTCAGTTCTAGTTCAGTTCTAGTTCAGTTCTAGTTCAGTTCTAGTTCAGTTTAGTTCAGTTCTAGTTCAGTTTTAGTTCAGTTCTAGTTCAGTTCTAGTTCAGTTCTAGTTCAGTTCTAGTTCAGTTCTAGTTCAGTTCTAGTTCAGTTCTAGTTCAGTTCTAGTTCAGTTCTAGTTCAGTTCTAGTTCAGTTCTAGTTCAGTTCTAGTTCAGTTCAGTTCAGTCTAGTTCAGTTCTAGTTCAGTTCTAGTTCAGTTCTAGTTCAGTTCTAGTTCAGTTCTAGTTCAGTTCTGTGTCGCAAAATTTCGTTTACGGAATATGTACATACATATATACAGACTAACCCCCCTAATGTATACATACATATGTATAATAAATAAATATATATAGATCTTTACTTAAGTTATTATTTAATATTTTTTTATATATAAACAATTAGTAATTAAACAAAACATTTGTTTATATTGTGATAAGTTCTAAAATTTGATTTCATTTAAAAAGTTAAAGTTTTGAACATAATATTCATACGGTTAAAGGTTTTTGTAGCGGGTGAAAAGTATGATTAATATAAAATCTGCCTAAAGATTAAAATAATTCTGCAAATCATTAATAAATTTAAATTGTTATTAAAAAGTTTTATTTGTTTTTTGCTTTTTTTTTATAAAATATGTAATGTGATATTGTAATACAAAAAATCTATATAAAATTGTGATTAAAAAAGAACACTGAATTGTTAATATAAAATTTAAATGCATTTAGAAATGTAAAAATATGTTTTGAAATCATTTTTAACAAATTCAGTAAATTTTCCTTTATGTTTCCTTTAAGTAATATAACTCCGATTCAAAGTGAACTTTTCTTTAAGATTTACTTTGATTCGGAGTGAATACATAAAAAGTTCTAATATTGTCCACTTTTCTCAATTTCAATTTCAGCTATTGAAATCAACAATTAACAGTGGTGGCAATGCCGCGTGACATGCATTCTCGGAATAGCGTGTTTCGCAGCGTTTTACAAAGAGATTATATTGAACCACGCCTTACACAACGCAATTTAATTGCTAGCACCAAAGATTCCCTCGATTACGTACAACGTTTGGGACTTTTATGCCGTCTGCCCGTACATTCTGGTTGTGTCAATACCATACATTGGAATAGTACGGGCGAATATTTGCTATCGGGTTCCGATGATCAATTTATAGCCGTAACAAATCCCAATAATCAAGAAGTTCTGTTGAAATGTAAAACAGCACATCGGGCTAATATATTTAGTGCACGTTTTATGCCACAGTCAAATGATCAAGCAATAGTTTCATGTTCGGGAGATGGCATCGTTTTGTATACTGAATTAATGGCTCCCTATCTGAAGCGATCGAAATCCCATTTTAATGGTATGGAAAATGGAGCACCAGTTTATGAGAGAAGTCCTGATGCTGAATCGACTGTTCATTATTTTAATTGTCATAAAAGTGCCACAACTTATGAGGTCTTGACGATGCCTAATGAACCGCGTTCGTTTATGAGTTGTGGTGAGGATGGCACTGTAAGGCTCTTTGACTTGAGACAAATATCGGGTTGTCATAAAACCTGTTGCAAAGATAACATATTGATTTTAAGCCCCACTGCGGTTAATGCCATCGATTTGTCGCCAATTAGTTCAAATTATTTGGCGGTGGGAAGTTCAGATGCTATTGTACGCATATACGATCGACGTTATTTATCTGTAATTGATTTTAATGATAGCTCAATAGCCACCGCTGATAAGCACACCAGGCCGGTTAAAGCTTATCCTATACCACTGCCTAGTAGTCGTCAGTATCGAATAACTTGCATACGTTATAGTCCCGAAGAAACCGAACTTTTGGTCTCTTATTCCTCGGAATATTTATATTTATTTGACCTGAAACATGAGGGAATTAATGTTGATGATTTGTCTAAGGGTCGTTATGTGGCAAATCGTGGAAATTCTCCGCCGCCTGCAATGACTGCAGAACAAGTTACGAGGCGATTACGTTTGAGAGGCGATTGGTCGGATACTGGACCAGATGCTAGACCTGAAAGGGAGGCGAATGGTAGGGTAGATGTAGGACAAGTAAGACCTCAATTGCAGCCCAATATAATGAGTCGCATGACAGAGGTGATATCTCGTATGCTAAACGATCCTCGAACACGTATGGGCATAACAAATCAAATACAAGAGGCCAGAGAAAATCAAGCGGCAGCAGCTGCTGCCGAAGCTTCAGTGGTTGGCACAGAAACCACTAGTGAAGGTAGAATTCCGATTTTATTAAAATTTTCGAATGCAGAACTGAACTATAACTGAACTATAACTGAACTAGAACTGAGCTAGAACTGAACTAGAACTGAACGAGAACTGAACTAGAACTGAACTAGAACTGAACTAGAACTGAACTAGAACTGAACTAGAACTGAACTAGAACTGAACTAGAATTGAACTAGAACTGAACTAGAACTGAACTAGAACTGAACTAGAACTGAACTAGAACTGAACTAGAATTGAACTAGAACTGAACTAGAACTGAACTAGAACTAAACTAGAACTGAACTAGAACTGAACTAGAACTGAACTAGAACTGAACTAGAACTGAACTAGAACTGAACTAGAACTGAACTAGAACTGAACTAGAACTGAACTAGAACTGAACTAGAACTGAACTAGAACTGAACTAGAACTGAACTAGAACTGAACTAGAACTGAACTAGAACTGAACTAGAACTGAACTAGAACTGAACTAGAACTGAACTAGAACTGAACTGGAAGTATAACTAGAACTGAACTAGAACTGAACTGGAAGTCTAACTAGAACTGAACTGGACTGAACAGAAGTTAAACTGAACTAAACAAATTTCTATAGAAAATTTAATTAAAATTTTCGACCAAAATTGCTACACCCGATATTGTTTTATAGATTCACGCCCGTCCACTTCAATAGCAGCTTGGCGACGAGCTGCAGCCAATGGCTTAATAGCTAACAGAGAACAGACTTCAGCTAATGATACGGCTCGACAAATCTGGCCCCCACTTCTGAAGATGTTGAAATGTTTTGAAACTTTCAACTGAATGCGAAACTCAAAGTCCTCGATCTGCACAATTTCAAGTAGATGCTGCTTCACTAAATAAGGAACTGGCGGATTAGAAATGGAAACTAGAGAAATTGTCTATGATTATTTACGCATGAAATATACTGGTCATCGTAATGCCCGCACCATGATCAAAGAGGCTACATTTTGGGGCATAACTATGTAATGTGTGGCTCAGATTGTGGTCACATATTCACCTGGGATAGACGCACTGGCAAATTGGTGATGTTAATGCAGGCCGATCAACATGTTGTCAATTGTCTGCAGCCGCATCCAGAATTGCCTTATTTGGCCAGTTCAGGTATAGATTATGATGTCAAAATCTGGGCTCCCGTCTTGCAAGAGAAAGGATTTGATGAAGAGGCAGCAGAAATTGTAAGACTTTAAAGAGAATGTATGTATTTTATAATAATTTAATTAATAAATTCTTTTTTTAGTTAATGGAACGTAATGCCATTATGTTGGAACAAACCAAAGACACCATTACCGTGCCCGCAGCATTCATGATACGTATGTTGGCTTGTATTCACTCATTACGCAATCGAGAACGTAATAACTCAAATTCAACTCAACAAAATTCTAATGAAAATAATTCACAACAAAATACACAAAACGATGATAGTAGTAATAATACAACAACGGGTGATAATATTAATAATCATAATGATAATGATAACAACAACAACAATAATAGCAGTAACAACAATAATAATGATGATGATCATACAAGTAGTTAATTTGCATCTAATAATGATTATAAATCAGTAATTGTTTATTTCACAAAATATTTGTTTTTTAAATTAAATGCTATTTGTAATAGTATACTCGCTTCTTTTAAATCTTTAAGAATTTATTTTTGAAGTTATTTATTTTACTAAAACCTAAATAATTGATGGTGTTTATGTACACGCTTACAAACACAAAAAAATAAGTGTTAAATCATAATTGTTTGTTTTTTTTTTTTTGTGGTAAAAAAATGTTTTTATGATGTTTTCGAAATTTTATAGTATTTTCAAATTTTTCGAGTTATTTTCTAGAAATTTTTGTCGAATTTTTTGCAAAAATATAGAAAAGTTTAACTAGAAATAAACTCGAACTGTAGTATAACTGAAATGGAATTGAACTAGAATTGAATCAGAACTTAACAAGAATTGAAATGGAACAAATCTGGAAACAAATAAGAACTGAACTAACCCGAAAAAAACTAAACTGAACAAGAACTAATCTAGAATCAAACTAGAACTTAGCTGGAACTGAAGTAGAAGTGAACTAGAACTACATATAACTGAACTAGAACTGAAACTTAACCAGAACCAGAACCGAATCGGAACCGAAATAGAACTAAACAAAACTGAATTACAACTAAACTTATCTAGAAGTGAGAAGAAAACACTGTTTCTTGAGAATATTGATTTAAATACTTTTTTTATTAAGTCCATTTAATATTTTGTAAATATGTCATTGTAATTTATTGAATATTGAGAAGTTTATTAAAACTTCTTTTACTTTTATTTATTTATGAATACGTAAGTATATATGATATATTTAAAAACTACACAAACATAATTTTTAAATAAGAAAAATTAAAAAATATACTACCCTCGCCAATTAAAACCAAACAATGAAGTAAATAATTAAAAAAAAAAAAAAATACCTAAAAAATAAAATATAAATTTTTACTATAAATGAATAAATTTAAACATTTAGAGATGCATAATAATAACATTAAAATAGGGACATAAAACTTATCAAGTTAAAAATCTAAACATTAACGGCATTTTGTAAAGATGTTTTATCATCCACTATGATATTAGCCGCAGCTGCGGTATTGGGATTTGAACTTAAAAGTTGTTTGGTGGACGAGCTAGACGAATAACTGTCACTGGAACTGCGAGTGGAGGCAGAAGTAGCACTGACAGGGCTATCTAACATATCTGAGGAATTGAAAAAGAAAATATTAGCTTGGATCTTAGTGGGGGTATAAAAAGTAGAAATTACCTGGTAGAGAGCTGACATTGTTGCCTTTTAAGTCAACTGCGCCTGTAGAGCAGGCTGTAGTGGAGAGTCCCGTGCCACCAGAACCAACAATATTACCCACTGACGTTGATTCTTGTGAAGATTCTTTTTACCAAAGAGTTCTTTAATTTTCACCAGCACTGGTAAGAGTTTTAGCTTTATCGGGACACAATGGGCTTAAAATGGAATTTTTGTGGATCTTCCGGTGTATAATAATCAGAATCTTCATTGACAACTGCCGAGGGTGGCGGAGGTATAACACCGGGAGCCAATGTTGTAGTAGTCTCAATAGGACTGGTTATTTTGTCTGATTTATTATCTATAGCCTTTTTGTGCTTCTTAAAAGAAGTACTTTTCTTGGGCTTAAACTCAACCATGGGCTCTGACAACATGCTATTTTGATCATCATCTTCAGCTTCATTATCCAATTCTGAACCAGTCAGAGATTTTGCCAACTGTGGCGGTATGGGCTTACATTTGCTGCCAGGTGAGAGTAAAGGTGATAACTTTTCATTTTCACTATCATCGTCACCCTCATCATGGGTATTAGTAGCAGTGGAAGTCATTTCCGGATTTGCAGTTGTGGTTTTGGAATGCCTTTTATGAGATTTGGGTACTTTTAAACTGTGGCGTTCATTGACAATTTGAAGCTTATCTTGTGAAGCACGTTTATCTAGGACTTTCACCTCGGTACCCGATTCATCGGAATTATCTTTTCCTTGTGTGGCCGCACCGCCATTCGAAGATGAATTGCTATTGGTCATGGTAGCCATTTCATTGGAGTTAGTCGATGTAGAAGCATTTTTCTTGCCCTTAGATCGTCTTTGACTTGTGGGCTTGTAGGGAGAAGTGGCTTTGTGATGTTCGGTTGAGCACCATTAACCACAGAGCCTCCATTGCCGCCATCAATCATATCGTTGCCATCTCCTACACCACGACGAGTGCCCACATATTGTGGAGGACCATTTAAGGCCTCAATCAAGGGAAACTGGTATAAAACCTGGCGGTACTTGATGTTCACACGCCAAAGGTTCTCCGGCAGCTGAAGTGGGGAGTATTTTGATGTAAAACATGATTATTAACACCCTTTTGTACAGCTCTTATTTGGAGAAGAGCGCGAAATGGTGCCCGACATATGGGACAACAGTTGGCTTGATAGCGCAGAGAATCTGCGCATGAATAACACAAACACAAGTGACGACATGGCAAGATGAGAGTATCACGGGTTTCACTCATACAGATGACACATTCACTGCCATGATCATCCAAGTCTTCATCAATAGAACTTTTGTTAATGGCCTAAAATATTCAAGATTGTTTTCAATGGCAAATCTCGTCAGAAATAAATAAAACTTACCTTGTTTTCTATACCATAAATCTCCTGCAGCAAATAGCACAAGCCATCAACAAATATTTTCTGTTCAAGGCTCTTAAAACATAACTATTGCTTTCAGGATGATGATCAATAACACAAATTGTTGTATGAGACTGACGACATTCCTCATTGCCCTCCTCGACCACACAGTGTATGGCCACAGGATATTGTTCCTTGCCGGGATATAGATCAAGTCATCTTCTGGTATTAGTTGAGGATTGAAAACATGAGTTGGTTGGGAAAAGTATTGATTAATTCCTTATCAAAGTGATAAGTTCTCCGAGGTCAAACCATCACGTGGTGTTAGAGTCACACCACTTGGACTAACTTCTTCACTGCAGAAGTAATAAATGGTGATAGCGCACTTGGCATCCGAGTCAAAAGTAAACTCAATGTTGTACAAACACGGTGGAGGATTTTGTTCTTCACCCGCTACTGCAGTCAAATAATTACCATCAGCCTGATCATCGGCTTGTTTTTCTTTGGGTACCTTAACAAAACGTACCGACTCTTTACGTATGTTGACCAAACTTTTTAAAGTCTTTGTGGGTTCATTGGCTTGGGGTGGGGGATAAGAAATGCAGTCGGGCGATTGCCCAAAAAGTTAAGGTCGGCATTTTCACCGAAAAGATATGATTCCGGTTGAGGTGTGTCGAAACGTTCACCGCCCCATTATAAAGTGGCTGCCAAAAAGTTGCCCGAACGCGGAGGATATTTGTAGGCGTGGTTGTTGGCATCTGTTCAGCCTCCTCAATGGCTCCATTTTGACGGCTGGTAAATGCTCCCATTTCTACCGTAATTTAATTTATTTGTTGTTATTTTTATAATATTGCACTTATAGATCACATATATAGTTGATTTTTTACAAAATTTCCCGGAAACAAATGCAAAATTAAATTTTCACTGGAAAAAGTGAAAAATTTTGCTAAAAAACATCGATTAGTAAAATGTTGAGAATGACAAACACAAAGAAAACTAAAAAAATACTTAATATAAGGTTGCCATATCTTTGTTTTTTCTTAACAATTAAAGCGTTTTTTAAAATGTTTTATAATACATAAAAATAATTATAACCCTACAAGAACAGTGACAGTCATTTGATAGGTCATTTGACTGGCACTACTGATGTATTATTTCTATCACAGCGTAAAGCAAAGTTTCTATCAGTTTCTTAAGGCAAATGGACAAAAGTGATGGAAACATTTGTGTACATGTGATTTTTCTTCTCCCTTGCACTTATGAATTCATCGACTTTAAAACATATATTTGAGCTCCTCACTCTTTTGCTTGTTTACTAACCAAGGATGACATAAATATTAGTCAGGATTGACTGATCATGCTTGATGGATATATCTATCACAGTTAACAATTAAAAATGATGTATTTATCGGTCATTGTTGACTAATCATATGTGATGAATATATCCGTCAAATGTGACGGCTATACCAATTTATAATAAAACACAATTTATTAATATTTTAAGATATATATTTGTTAATTTATTAATATAATAAGCATGTACATAAATTAACAATCATTTCACCATTTTACATACCTCGCAGGATCTTAAATCCGCTGATGCTCCTTTTAATTTGTGGAAATAAGTTGTCTGTAAGAAATACATATGAATATCGAAATATAAAAATTAAAAGTAAGTAATCATGTTACCATAGATTGATTAAACTCCGAAGTGTTTATCTTCAGCTCCACTTCCTGCACTATTTTTAAATTCTGTTTATAATAATTCTCTTTATTTTCAATAATTTAGACTTGTTTTTAAAATTTTTCGCTTCTTGATCTTTGGCTTTTACAGAAATAATAATTTATAACGTCGAAAAATATAACTCTAAAACACAGTACAGTCAAATGTAGTTGTTTCACTCTTTCATATGCAAATGAAACCCTTTACCACACATTGGGTACATCAACAGTCATTTTACCGGTCATTTGACTGTCATTATTGATGGAATTATCCATTAACTATTTTTTTTAGCAATTTTATAAAAAAATGTTGCAAGAGTGTTAGTGAAATCATTTGTATGTGTTAGTTTCGGTCATACATTTCTTGTAGGGAATTTAACAAAAAATGTTAGTCTATTAGCATTATTATTAGCTTTTTAACAATTTTTCTTACAAATATCTCTAACTTAAATATTTTTATTAAATAAACATTAATTAGTGCCGGTTCACACAGGTAAACTTTCATTGGGAAACTTTTGATTTTGTGTGTGAGAGAAAGAAATATCAACCATCTCTTTCTCTCACACACAAAATCAAAAGTTTCCCAAAAAAAGTTTACCTGTGTGAACCGCCACTTAATTAGTTTAATTTTAATTAAATTGAACAGTCTGGTAGCTTTTATTCTTTACTTATACTATTGTGAATGAAAAAGGAAAGAAAAACGCAAAGAAAGAAAAACTTTTTATTTGCGAAAAAAATTGTAGGAAAACTTATTAAAATAGTGCAAAGCTCCCACAAATTGTCCAAAAAATGACTACAGATGAAAATATATTGCAGGAAATGTTGGGTAAGTTGTAAAAAATGTAAAATACAATTAGTAAATTTTAAAAAATCTGGTAAATCCCCGAAATAATAAAATTTAAATCGCATTAATAGAGAGGGTCACCAATCCTGCCAAGCTGGAGGTGGATAATTTAGCTGTTCAAATGTTTTGTATGATGGTACAAAGTAATAGCGATTTAGTGACCAAAGCTCACGAATTAATTGTTAAAAAAATGCATTCCAATAATACCACAGAGGCAGCAAGAGCTATAGGGGTAAGTTGGGGGTTAAAAATTCTTTGTTTTTAATTTTTATCGGTAACAATATTTTGTTATCTTAACAGCTTTTAGAGGAATGCATGTCGAAGGGAGGTTTAGAATTTCAAAAAAAGACTGCTAAATTTACTTTTCTCAATGAACTAATTGCTTTAGTTTTGGATAAACATGCTGGTCCACCGGCTCCGGTTGACACGAAGAAACGTATAATGGAATGTCTTATGCTGTGGACGGTAGAACATCAGGATAAAACAAAAATTCAAGAAGCCTATGATAATCTGAAAAGACAAGTCAATTTTGCTCATGGACCAACAACCAACAATTCCAATTCACCCGCTTTAACAAATGTTCGCGAACAACGTTCCAGCTTTCTGGGCAAGGATGATGAGTTAGTGGCCAAACTATTGAAACAGGGAGGAGAGGAGAATTGGAAAAAAGCCAATTTGCTGATTAAGCATCGTTTTAATCAAGAGGCCAGACGTACGGAATTCATTTGTCATCTTAAAAGTGAATTGAAGAAGATAGATAGTACGATGGAGGTCCTGGATGAAATGTTAAATTCCTATAGCTCAGATACCCCTGGAGAAGATAGCAGGGACATTATGCAGGAGTTGTATAATACGTGTAAAAGTCATAATGAGCAAATGGCGAGATGGCCGGATTTCTTGGGCGATGGAGAACCGGAATTTTTGGGTGAGTGTGAAAAAAGTTTTTAAAATAATCTTGTTAAGGAACTAGAACTGAACTAGAAATTAACTACAACAGAATTAGAACTGAACTTAAAGTTTACAAGCACAAATTAAAACAGAAATAGACCCGAACTAGCATTGACCTACAGCTGAACTAGAACTAAATTAGAACTGAACTAGAACTGATCTAGAACTGAACTAGAACTGATCTAGAATTGAACTAGAACTGAACTTGAACTGAACTTGAACTAAACTAGAACTGAACTTGAACTAGAACTGAACTAGAACTGAACTAGAACTGAACTAGAACTGAACTAGAACTGAACTAGAACTGAACTAGAACTGAACTAGAACTGAACTAGAACTGAACTAGAACTGAACTAGAACTGAACTAGAACTGAACTAGAACTGAACTAGAACTGAACTAGAACTCAACTAGAACTGAACTCGAACTGAACTAGAACTGAACTAGAACTGAACTAGAACTGAACTAGAACTGAACTAGAACTGAACTAGGACTGAACTAGAACTGAACTAGAACTGAACTAGAACTGAACTAGAACTGAACTAGACCTGAACTGAACTTAACTAGAACTGAACTAGGACTGAACTGAACTAGAACTGAACTAGAATTGAACTAGAACTGAACTAGAACTGAACTAGAAATGAACTATAAATGAACTATAAATGAACTAGAAGTGAACTAGAAATGAACTAGAACTGAAATAGAACTGAACTAGAACTGAACTAAAACTGAACTTAACTAGAACTGAACTAGAATTGAACTAGAACTGAACTAAAACTGAACTAGAACTGAACTATAACTGAACTAGAAATGAACTAGAAATGAACTAGAAATGATCTAGAACTGAACTAGAACTAATCTAGAACTGAACCAGAACTGAACTAGAACTGAAATAGAACTGAACTAGGACTGGACTAGAACTAAACTAGAACTGAACTATAACTGAACTAGAACTGAACTAGAACTGAACTAGAATTGAACTAGAACTGAACTAAAACCGAACTAGAACTGAACTAGAAGTAAACTAGAACTGAACTAGAATTGAACGCGAACTGAGCTGGAACTGAACGCGAACTGAGCTGGAACTGAACTAGAACTGAAATAAAACTGAACTAGAACTGAACTAGAACTGAACTATAACTGAACTATAACTGAACTAGAACTGAACTAGAACTGAACTATAACTGAACTATAACTGAACTATAACTGAACTAGAACTGAACTAGAACTGAAATAGAACTCAACTAGAACTAATCTAGAACTGAACTAGAACTGAACTAGAATTGAACTAGAAATGAACTAGATCTGAACTAGAACTGAACTAAAACTGAACTGAATTAGTTATTAAATTAAAAACTAAGTAAAACTGAACTTAAACTAAACTAAAATTGAAGTAGAACTGATGTAGGACAGGGCCCAATTTACGGCATACGATATCGATCGAAATCTCAAAAGAATCTAAGTGGAGATTTCGATCGATATCGTATGCCATAATTTGAGCCATGAGCTAGACCTGAAATACAATTAAACTAGAACTGAACTTGATCTGTAAGAAACTGGACTAAAATAAAACTAAATTAGAACAAATGTGGAAATGTGTGAACTAGATTTATACTAGAACTGAACTCAATCTGAATTGGAACTGAAATTAAGTAAAAGTTTTGCATAGAACCAAACTTCTTAAGTATTTGCTTAATTTTTGAAAAATTACCTTTCACATAATCATAATTTATTTTCAGAGGATGTCTTAAACACTAAAGACCTTCTAATGGTTGTAATACAACGATATAAAGAACTTTTCGAAAATGAATTGCAATTAACAAAACCCCTCGATGCTTTAACTGTAAAGACAACAACTGCAACTACCGTCAACACCGATTTACTCTCAGAACTACTGGGTGGCTCCATAAATACTTCCAGTCAAGATACCAAACCAACAATGACGACCAATAGCAGCAAACCTGCAAGTGCTAATAATACTACATTAGACGAATTAAGTGAAATTTTTGGCAGCATTAATGATAATACATTAACTAATAATAAACCGCATCATCCTTCGGATTTATTAGGCAATTTAGATTTATTAGAACCCATTAGTGTATTTGAAAGTGGAACGAAGGAGTTAGCAGCCACAGCAGTTACGAATGGTAAGGGAGAGAGAGAAAAAATCGCAGGGTTTTAAGGAATTAAAAGAAATTGATAAATTAAGTGAGGAAATGTTTAAGCAGAGTTTAAAGGAGGAACAACGCTTATTATCCTTCAAAAAGTAAGTTTTTATTGTTTGTGACTTAAAAAATGTTAACTAATTTTGTTTAACAATTGCAGAGAAACTGAAAAATTAACTTTAAATGATATGGCTAAAGATAAAATACAAACATCACTACTCGCCGCTAAAGTGGCAGATAATAAAAGCAAATCTAATTTAAAAACTCAAGAAGATTATAAAACCATAGCAATTTTAGATGAATTAACGACTGATTTTAAGGACTTAAATGGAAAAGAAAATAAAGTGGAAAATTTGGAAATTAAAGAAAAAGTATTAGATGTTAAAGAGGAAATAGAGCCTAAGAGTAATACTGAAGTTACAAGTGCAGTAACTTTAAAACCATTAGCCGAGATTACAATAGATTTAGACGAGGTTACACCACTAGATGAGGGACAACGTTTACTTTTAGACGATGATGACATACAAGTCACACTCAATTTCACAGCTGATCGTCCAGGCGAACATGTATCGGTTATTGTTATGGCGGTGACAAATAAATCCAAATTGCCAGTTAAAGATTTTCAATTTGAAGCTAGTGTTAAGAAGGTAGAGAAATATTTAATGTGGTCACTATAATATTAATTAATTGTTTATGTTACAGCCCTGCAAAGTGCGTTTACTACCGCCCACAGATGTGGCCATGGCACCTAGTAAACCATTTAGACCTTCGGCTCCCATTAATCAAGTAGTTTTACTGCTTAATCCCACACAAAATCCAGTGGATCTAACTTGTATAGTGGGCTATAAATTGGGCGATGATCCAGATCCAATTAAAGAATCAATTGTGGCCAAAGACATTCCTTATGTTTAGTTTTTTTTTATTTTACAAAATACATAAAGTATATAAAATGCCACGCATTTCTTTAAATTATCTATGATGATGGTTGGAAATCTTTTATAATGATTTCTTGGTAAAAACTACTACGTTCTATTAACAGCATATTATTTTAGTAAGAGATATGAAATTATTCTTTAAAAAAAAAACGTCAATTCGTTATTTTTAATTTGTGCAACTTTGTCATTTTAAATTTTGTTTTATTTTTTGTTTTTAAACTTTATTTATTAAAAATTTTACACACTGAACAGAAACTATAAAAGAAATCAGCAGTTTTATTTGAATCTAAATGAAGGAATAACCTTTGGTCCGCTTGGGTTTGTTATAAACCGGTGAAAAAGTTTAGCAGCTTATATCTGATTTAATTAAATTATGTAAACAAAAACTTAATGATAAAATAATCTATAAAGTTCCATTTTATTAAAATGTAACAAATATTTTTCAAAAATTTCCATCTATAGTTGAAATATTAATGAAAATCTAAAAACCTTTTGCGGACAAAACTAACAATATTTGACCATTTTAAAGTAATGTTTGCAGGCCTATATCTCGAAAACTGAGCTACTGGCGTAAAATTTTCATCAATTTAATGTTCAAGTCTCTAACTATGTGTTTCATAAGACAACTTTGTAATAAAGTAAATAAAAACTGTTCAAATAGCTATTTTTATTTAACGCCCACTTTTTCTATAGTGAAATGGGCGTGGCATTATTTTGTTTTTTATAAAACTATTCCTCATACTCTAAGCTATCCACAAGCCAAATTTAACTTAATTATCTGCAAAACTCCTTGAGATATTGAGCAAAAACGAAAAGTTATTTTCAACCACAAAAATGGAAAAATTGAAATTTCCAAAAATTTGTAAAACACCAGGTCCCCATAATTTGTTAGTAGGTGGATTTTTGCAGACCATTTTCTTTAAATGGCTATAACTCAAGAACTACTTAAGCTATTTGAATGAATGTTGATCCATATGATAGATTGGAAATTTGGCTACATAATGGGCAACCTTTGGCCCGCCTGGCTTTACGATTACATGACCAAAATGCTAGTTAAAGTAAAAAAGCTTATAACTCTGTTTCTAATAGACATAATTAAGTATCTAATAGCTTGTGGAAATCCTGAATTCTCAATTTATCAATAAACCAAATTTTGTAGCAATATCTCTTAAATTAGCAGAGATATGCAGCTAAATCCCAAACCTTCTACATTCGGATTTGGCGATATTTTGCCACTTCAAGGTTAAGTTTCATCGCCTATAACTTAGAAACCGCTTGATATATTTTCATAAAACTTACTTCATATGAAAGCTAAGGAATTCAATTTTTACATGGTTGTGTTTGATCATTTCAAATTGAAATAGTTTTTGTTAAAATTAGGAATATTTAGTTTACGCCCATTTTTTCCACTTATTAGTGGGCGTGGCAACATTTTCTTTCCAAAACATTATTCCTTATTTAATTATCTACCTACCGGTCAAATTTTATTCCATTAGCTTCAAAGACCGCGGAGATATTAAGTAAAATCCAAAATTCCTCTTATACCTCAAAAAATGGAAAAAATGAAATTTCCAAAAATTTGAAAAACACCAGGTCCCCATAATTTGTTAGTAGGTGGATTTTTGCAGACTATTTTCTTTAAATGGTTATAACTCAGGAACTACTTAAGCTATTTGAATGAATGTTGATCCATATGATAGATTGGAAATTTGGCTACATGATGGGCAACCTTTGGCCCGCCTGGCTTTACGATTACATGACCAAAAATGCTAGTTAAAGTAAAAAAGCTTATAACTCTGTTTCTAATAGACATAATTAAGTATTTAATAGCTTGTGGAAATCCCGAATTCTCAATTTACCAATAAACCAAATTTTGTAGCAATATCTCTCAAATTAGCAGAGATATGTAGCTAAACACCAAACCTTCTACATTCGGATTTGGCGATATTTTGCTACTTCAAGGTTAAGTTTTACCGCCTATATCTCAGTAACCGCTTGGTATATTTTCATAAAACTTGTTTCATATGAAAGCTAAGGAATTGAGCTTTTACATGGATGTGTTTTAGATTTTCAAATTGAATAGATCTCGGTAAAATTAACAATATTTACTTTACGCCCATTCCCCCCTACCCTTTTTTTCTTTAAATGTCTATAACTCAAGAACTACTTAAGAATCTTAATGATGTTTGGTCCATATGATAGATTGGAAATTTGGCTACATGAAAGGCACCTTTGGCCCGTCTGGCTTACGATTACATGGACAAAACGCTACTAAGAGTTATAAGCTTATAACTCTGTTAATGATGCATTAAGTACAATTTTTGTATTTTGTGGAAGTCTTGTATACTTACCCTTAACCTCACACATTTTTTAATAGAAATCTTTTTGATATATTATTTGTGTGTGGTTTTAATTAATTTTTTATTATTTCATATAATAATGTAATTGGCTTATAATATTATATTGTTTTTGTTTTTCTTGTTTCCATTGTTTATAATTAAATGTAAAATTACAAAATCGGTTTCATGTCCTTGATTTCTTCTTATTTTTCTTTTTATATATAAAAATTATTCATATAGAAAAGTCTTAATTAAGAGTTAAAAAAACATTAAAGAAAACAAAATTGAAAAAGAAATAAAATAAACTATAGTTCTTTTTCGGTTACTAGCAGTAAAATTAAGCAAACAAAAACAAATTGAAGTATTTATGTTCCACCCAACTTATCGATAACTTACGACCCACGAACGTACAAAATGCACCACACATCCACGGTGGTTTTATGAAGGCAGACCTACGTCTGGTACGGCCCCAATTGTCACGCCACGTTAATGCTTGATGTTATTCGGTAACATTTCATCTTTAAAGGACAAAGCGGTAATAGCTTTAGTATGACCAGTGTATTTACGTTCGGGATTTTTTTTCTCTAGCTTCCAAGACAGCAATACCATCACTGGAGGCGTAAAGAGGTATTTTGAATCAGCACTAAATGCCGCATCCCACACCCAATAGTTATCGATGGACATTCACGCCACATAGTGAAATCATCTGTTTTCCATATGCGTGCCGTACCATCACCGGATGTGGTCACTAGAAGCCTAGAATCGGGACTAAATTTACAACGCAAACGTAGCGTTTGTGAGCAGCTATTTTCAGTTTGGGATGTAAGGTGGTGAGTTTTTTGATTTGGCGAGGAACTTAGCGACCAAATATACAATTGCCTTTATTGTTAACGGCAGCCATATACTGACCATCGGGTGAAATGGCCACATCTTGTATGGAGGCATCCACTTCGGGTATTAACTGTTCGTGGACCTCGGACTTGACATCCCACAAATAGACACACCACCTTTTGAGCACCCATGGCAATTTCCACCTGATTCGGATGCAAACAGGCGGCATTTACCGGTGCCTGACATCAAACACCCGTGAACAATGTGGTGAGGCGGACAACATCCCATATGCGTACACGATGATCTTCGCCAGCGGTAAACATCCAATTGCCATCTTCTTGGAAACCCAAGCGTGTGACGTTCTTCTGAACACTTTCAAAGTTGATGACAGGCACATTAGTTGTGGATTCCAAATCATACAGACGTATGCACTGATACCCACAAGCCGCTAAACGGGTTTTGTCGGGAGTGCGATCCAGGGCGTTAACTTGCTATTGGGGATCAATCGAGACAAAAATTACTTATTAATGAACAATATTAGGCTTTTTTCCAGCTATGTACTTACCGATGTCTCCACAAAACGCAGCGTGCGTATACAATTGCCGGTATGTGCCTGCCATAATTTAATGGTGTGATCATAGCCACCATGGCTAATATTATTGGTCACCTGTTGTTTCCATTACAAATGTGTGATTTGTTTTATTAATTTCCAATTTAAGTTAAAATTTCATTATTTTTTCCTTCGTTTCTTTTACAATACAAGTGTGTCTGTCCGTGGTCTGGTAGTATTTTTTGTTTTTTTCTTTTCTCTGCTAGGGAGCTGTCAATTTGGCAGTTTGCTCTTTTGGTATTCACAATAAATGTATTGCATCATTCACAGTAGTTAATATTCACAATTGCTGTAAATAAAAAAGGAAAGAACTGTTATTTTAAAATAAATAGTATTGGGGGTTTAGAATATGTATAATTTAATTAATATATATATAAATAAACACATAAAAAAATAATAATGTATAAAAAATATCATTGTGAATGTAGCTTAATAGTTCATATATTTTTATCATAATAGTTTTATGTAGAAATTCTATAAGTGTTTCGGGAATTTCGATGAAGCAATGGACCTAAGTCCGTTTTGAGTCCATTTTTGGATTCAGCATGGGCTTTTACCAGAAAGGTGAGTTTGCAGCCAAATTCGTCCAGTAGTTCCCGAGTTTGAAGCAAAAAGAAATAAATCAGAAATTTTGATGAATGTTGGACCTAGGACCCATACTTCAACAAACTTTTAAATTTATTATTTTGTTTGCTTTAATCTCGAAAACTACTGGCCGAATCTGGCTGGATTTTTCCCATGCTGAATCCGAAAATGGACTCAGAATGGACCTAGGACCATTGCTTCATCAAAATTCCCGAAATTATTTTATTTTGAACAATTTACACTATTATTTCGGTGCCTCAAAACCGAGGGAAACTGAAATTGGTCATTTAAGACTAAAATCTATGGTGAATTCAGAATTGAGCTAGGTCCAATATTTCATAAAATTTCAGCACAACAATTTTGAACCAAATATCCCACGAAATTTCATATCACATCAAGAATTTTCGAATATGTGAGGTTCTTGTCTTTGCTAACATTTCTTTTTCAATAGTCAAGTCAAAACCCACAAATGTAGAGGAAATATTGGAAAATTTTGAGACCTTTCAGTTGAAAACCCACTCCGAATCCAAAAATGGACTCAGATTTAACCTAAAACCTATAATTTAATCAAAATTACGAATTTCGTGAACGAAAGTGTTCAGAAAGTGGTCGTTTTGGTATCTAATGAAGTTTAGAAACCTGTAGAAACACA